TATGACGGTTCACCCTTCCACTTAAATGAAATGTCGCTTCGTCGCTGAATACCAGACAGTTAGCAAATTCGTCGTATTCCATTGCCTCCTGCATGTTAGAAGAAAAATCAAGTCGCTTTGTAGCATCTGTAGACGGTACGGTTTGAATCGCAATCGTTTCCGGAAAATTCTCCATATGGTTGGCTGGAGAATACCAAGTTCACTTCCTGCTCTGCTAGTGTACTTTCGCGGAGAACGCGTGAAACTGTGTCTAACTGCGTCCACCATTTCGTCAGGAACTTGTGGTCTTCCGGTACCTTTACGTTTAGTAATGGAACATGTCTTCTTGAATTGTCGATACCATCGTAGAATGCTCTGATGACCTGGAGAATCAGTTCCATACCGCCGTCGGAATGCACGTTGCACTGTAACAACCGATAAACATCGCGCGTGCTCTAACACACAAAACGCTTTCTGCTGCATAGTCGCCATTTTGTATACTGAGCTGGTGGCGCTACCTCGGGAGGTAAAGCGGCGTTCGCAAGCACGTACTTGAAACTCGAACATTTTCCTTTTCTAGTGATATGTCATTTGATATTATATTTGCAATACTCTCTGAAATATAAATTTTTAAAACCCGATGATTCTTTTGTAATAACCCTGTATTAAAATTGTGTTTAAATAAGTGGAAGGTACGTTTTCTCTCATTAAAATCATAAATATGACAAAAAAATTGTTAAGACCTGTTGAAAATGGCCGCTATTTCCTATTCAAATGCAAGGTACCTACTCGGAGATGTACAGCGAACGACGGCAGCCTCATAAATCCCAATTTAGAGAAACAGTAGTTAATTTAATAAACCGTGGGGCTTTCGAGCAACATAGAAGCGGATACAATAATGTAAATGAAAATGGCGACAGAAAAATTTTACATCGTTGGGCTGTTGAAGATCCTCACGAAGTGGCAGAGAGACGTCTACAGACCAGATTTGGAACTAGCATTTGGCGTGGGGTCATTGGTAACTTAATCTAACTTACAATTTTTTAAATGGAGACCTATTTGAAATTAGACTACAACTTAAACGGACAGATGTACCTAGAGCAAGTTTAAGTGAAGATGAGCTTAGAAGAACCTAGATTCAACAGGATGGATGTCTAGCTGACAACACCATTCAAGTCAGGAACTTCTTAAGAGATCATGATGATACAATAATTTCATTAAACGGTTCAATATCTTGGCCTCCTAGATCCCCTGACCTTTCACCCTTCGATTTATACCTCAGGGATCACATAAAGAATGAGGTCTATGGATTTGATCCTGCCGCGACCATAGATATCCTGAGACAAAGAACTTTTAGCAGAGTTAGAAACATTAACAGAAATAGATTAGCTAAGGTAGTAATTAAATTAGTACCCACTTACATAATTAGATTTCACATTACATTACAATTTTGAAAATGTTTGTTTGTTCAAGTGTAAAATAAATTTATGACGATTTTTCTGACTTGTGTTTATAGGTGGGAATTTGTCCCAAAAAATTTGACTTGTTGAGAAGTCGATATTGAAAATTCAAGGCGTTTATGCATGTTATGCCTTACTCTTTAATGTTATTTTCTGACAAAAAAATCATGACCTCACTAAAAAAACTAATACTTAACATTACGTGTGATGTTATTACACGCTTTTCAAAAATCAAAATATCCAACATGGTGGCCATAAGAGAAATGAAAGTTGAGACGGGTTGCTGTAAAACAAAAGACGATTGAGACATGTCATACAGTTTCCTCTCAACCTTTCCCCATTTAACCTTTGCTGTAGGTACAACAGGAGCTGAGATCCCTGTATAGAGAAGCAAATCTGGGACACACTGTATATTTTGAGTCGTAAGCGGCGTGCAAACTGCAAAGCTCTGTGCGCTGTGCCAGCATGCCCAATGACGATTCTAAAATATCAAAAGAAAAAATAATTCAAAAGGTTAGCCAAAACTTTATATGTATATTCTTGTATCATGGAAATATACTCACATATTACAACGCAACAAAATTAAAACACATTCCCAAAACGCCATGTAGCGGCTACAAACGGAACTAATCTGACAAGATTGAGAATTCACTAGGAGCGCATGTGAATACTGAATACAAACGAAATCAAGGTCATTGAAATCGGCGGAGTCAAACAGAAGTTATGTGATTTTTCCTGAAATGACATTCAACCCCTCATCCTAAACGAATGAAAATATAAAAATATGAGATACACAAGTTGGTAAATCAAGCGGTCAACATCATACAGCTATTTAGGCATAAATGTTTCCAAAATGATGACGTTTGAACTTTCTAAATTGGAATGACGCCACCTAGCGGCCATTTTGGGAAGCCGCAGATAATTTCCAGCAATTTGTGTTGGTCACTTTTACCACTAAAGTGTCCAACCGATAGCTTTAGGTTGAGCGGGTGCCGAGATACAGCCGGCGTCCTTTATTATTAAATAAGTTATTCCGAATGTACATATACATATACTGATGTTTTATAGAGAATCTGTAATAAATCATGTCGCGTGACAGGTACTGAGACCTGTTCGAAATCATATCATAAACAATGTTGAAATGCTTTATCAATAAACGTATACAACGTAAACGAATATAATTAAATTATAATCATGCAGGTCAAGCGAATACCTTTCCAGAACGACGAGGCAGCTATTATCCTATGTTAATTTATTTTGATTTATCCTATGAAGCCATTAGCGAGGCACGCAACGACCAAACTGTTTATTATAGCTGGAATAGTGGTCACTTTGGCCGTTTGTTGCCATTAAACAAACTGACAATGACGCCATAATGCGGCAGGATGCAACGCCTGGACGTTGTTAGTGTTGCAATGTTGCAAACTGGAGCAATCCGCTTTGGAGATTCTATCTTTAATCTCCTTTTTCTCCTTTAGAGTATATGGTAATAGGAGCAAACGGGCAGGATTCGTCTATAGTCTATAGGAAATGACAAGATAAAATGCCCGACAATGCTTACGTAAATACTTGGGAGTAACACTAACAGCAGACGGAAAAGATACTAACGATGTACAACAAATTAAATAAAGGCAAAACAATTATTAGACAGTTACATCCAATCTTGTGAGAAGCATTTCAAGGAGAACAAACCACTGCATTTACAAATCGTGTGTTAAAAGGACAATTACATATGGGTCGGACACTCTCGAGGAAAGAGCAGCGGAATATAAATGCAAGGGTGTTGTGTTAATAATCAAAGAAAAAGGTATATGAATCTTAAATCAACGGTTTATAGGGTTGAAACAAAATATCAGTATTCGGTGTTCGAATCGAGAATTAGGGGTTTTTCACTCAAATATGGTGCAAAAGTGAGCAGGACGTGAGCAACAAGTTGCCGTATGTTCGGGAAAGTGGTTCAGGAAGTGGCGAGAAGTCCAGGATTCCAAGAAGAAGATGGAAGAGAAGCATAAAGAAGGACTGGAAAGGAGTCATCATGGCTAGTAAAGAAACGGAAATACGGCTTACCTCTGTGCTAGGCCGGCCAAATAAATGTCTGCCACAATGATGATTTTATGCCAGATTTCAAATTATTGATCCCCTAAAACGGAAAAGTCAAAAATTCCTATTCCATGCAAGAGAAAACCTAAATGAAGATTCTATTGATGATAGAGATAAATGGCGTTAGGCATGCGGAAAACGGTGATAATGCTATAAAAACCAAGCTACAATAATAATAATCTACGTAGACTTAGATAGATAAAAAAAGGGTTATTCAAAAGGCTACTAACACTTTATTGAAACAAGAAATTCCACTCAGATTCCTTTGGTCCTCTACAAATTTACTCATACCTCTTTGTATCTCCACAGTAAAGAGGGTGGCCTATTTATAGTGATCCACATTTGATTTTCCTTTTATTCTATTTTTCCAGTAAGGAGGTTATAACAAGTCATGTTACTTAATCAAGTATGCCTCTAAAATCAATAGTCTAGGAGATTTTCTGCATTCTTCTAAATGTTCGTAAACCTAAATTCGATTTCAATTCTGCAAACTGGAGCTCGTTTTGACGGTTCAGTCCTCCTTTGGTGCTTTTTGTAGCTTGGAAGAGGCAAGTTAGAAAGGCACATAGAACGGCATGTTTGGATAGAAGCGAAAGCTTTCCAGTATTCATAAAAATTATTGAGTTCTTTTTCTCGTGGTGTCATATCAGGTCTCCCTGCCATTGGCAATTGCATCGGTAAGTTGTTCGCAATTCGCTGTTCTGAAAATATGCTCGCTACTTCAAATTCCTGTCCAATTACGAGCATTCCTCTGCCAAGACGTTTGCTTCCTTCCAGTTCCTCTGCGACCATAAATGTTGCTCTTTATTATGAGTTGAAGGACTTTTTATCGATATCCTCTAAGCACATGCCCTAAGTACGATATTTTCTGTATCTTAACAGTTTTAAGCTGTTTACGAACTGTGTGTTATACTGCTTTGTTGGATTTCATAGCTATCTGGGACATTTGAAGCGTTCTTCTAGACGATTTATCGAATCAGCCTTGAATATCCAGGTCTCGGCTTCGTATAACAACAGAGACCTAATATAGTATTTAACCATTTTGTGTCACAATTTCAGATTCAAAGATTAATTACCAGGAACTAATCAGTGGGGATCTACCTAGGGCAGGGAGATAGTGGGGGGGAGTCCCTCCAAAAAAATTGGAAACAGGAAAATAAGCAGAAAATTCTTGTCACAAGGGCATTTGCTCTCAGAATCACTAACGAACGGTGGCACCCATTCCCTCTTCAATTATAAATTTTCGATTTTCATTTCCCCATATCACTTACCTTGTACCCTCCCTCCCCTCACAAGCACTAAGAAATTTAATTTGGCAACCAAGACAAAAACTCACAGGAATGGTGCTTCTTTGTATCGATCTATGTACTATCTATCTCAACCTTAAATAAAGCAAGGCCTCCGGAAATTGGATAAGTTTCGATTGTAAACATACATATGCTAGTAGAAATGAATACGTACGTTTTCCATTGAAAAAGTATGTATACTTTGCGCACATTTGGTTCTCATTCTTCTTACATAATATACTCTCTTTATAGTGACTCCACAAATACTCCAGATCTGGTGGAGTTCCATCATCTAGAAACAAGGTAAGCATATATGTTAAGACCAAAGATAACAAGATTTGCTAAGACTTATTCAGTGATAATTCCTCAAAGGAATGAGTTGAAACATCAAAGAGTTTCCAGACAGAGCTAGACAGGGTGATTCATAAGTCGTAACCAATAATGAAACATTTTAAGGGCGTCTTCTATGTAACATTTGTTCCTCGAAGGCTTTATTAACAAGAAGCAGTGTGATGAAGTTTAAAAATATACAGCACACTTTGTCAATATCTTCGAAACTGCCATCTGGAACGAACCAAAATCTGGTATGTGGATCTACCTAAGTATTGTCCACATTCAAAAGTCATTACTTAAAATCACCAGTGGCGGAGATACAGGGGATTAGTGGCAATATTTTTTCAAATGAAAATAGTTCGCTACTGTTTTTTTTAAATGCGCAGTATTTCGAATTTTACATTCAATTTTCTACAAATAATTACTCTGGTTTTTCGTAGAGTGCACTGATTTGCTGAAAATAAAAATAAAACAAATTAGATCATTCATAAAGAGCCGAGATACAATTAGTTTCAAAATAAAGTAGGTGGCCTTGATAGCATCTTGACATCTCTTGGGAGATAGTTTTTCAAATTTATGTGATATACGGTTGTTACCGTTACTAATACCATTTTTTTTTGTAAAAGTCAAGTCAAAAGTTTCTTATTCCATTTTTGAGTGTTGTGAAATGGAAAATAGCAATTTACGCGTTCATTTCTAAGATCCCGGCATACTGTTCAAGAGAAACTGGTAGTGATTAATTTGGCGTTGGATGATCCTAGTACTAGGCGGATTGCGTGGAGAATTTTAAATCAGCAAAATATGCATTGTCTGCAACCCGGGAACGAAGTGCAACGGCGAAATTTTTGTGAGTGGTTACTGCAAATGCATAATCAAAATGCAGATTTTATTGATTTGTTTTTGTGGTCAGATGAATCGCTTTTCACGAGAAGTGGAACCTTTAATTCTCATAATTAAAATATTTGGTCGTTAGAAAATCCCCGTTCTGCAAGAATCGACTCGTTTCAACACAGATCTGTGAATCACCCTGTACGATATAGAACACTTAGGCAGGTTTTGGAGAACTGTTGCTCCAAGTAGAGTACCTGGAAGATATTTTTCCAAATGATCTGGTCTACTTCTTCAGGAGGTCGGAGCTACCGCGAGAAATACAACTATGCGTAATGTAACTCCTGAAACGTATGCTGTGGTTTTCACGTTCAGAGCATCACATTGTCTGACCGAATCGAAAAACCACGTACAGACGAGTAATTTAAGCGATGAGACTGGCAACGTAGCGATCGTTCTGGCAACACTGAAGGAGCCGAGCTTGTAGGGGCGACAGGGTAATATGTCATCCGCTTTCTGTACAAGTTTGAACTCGCTCGAGTCATTTGGTTGGTCGCACCGATTTTTTTTTTTGTGAAACATATTGTGTTCTAGAAATGGATGACATCAACTTGACGCAACGGTATGTTATCAGGTTTTACTTCAGGTTTTTCGGCAATTTAAGGCACTTTGAGAAGGGAGAGACTTGATTAAAGATGAACCACGAAGTGTAAGGCCTGAAGATGAACCACGAAGTGTAAGGCTTTCATCTTCAAGAACCGATGAAGCCTCCTTATTCACCTGACTTGAGCCCTTGTGACTTTTCTCTCTTCCCGAAGTTGAAAAATCGCCTCAAGAAAACTCATTTTGGGACAGTCGAATAGGCTGCAACCCACCAGCTGAAGACTATGCCAGCATCGGAGTTCCAGCACTGCTATGAGGAGTGTTAGAACGGTTTCCAGCGCTGTGTGAAGTCATTTTGAGGGAGACAAAATAAAATTGTAATTATATTTGAATAAAATTTAAAAAAATCAGTGTTTTTATTGCGCGACGTTTCGACGACCACGTGAAATGAGATAAATAGAAATCCAAACGTATACAAAACATAACCTAGGATAAGCAATTTGCGGTCGGCAGTATCTCTCTTTTAATAAACAAGCATTCTTGAGCTTTGATAAAGTTTGCAACGTAAAACTTTAACTTTGTATTCATTTATTACTTTTATACATTTTTCTAGCCATTGAATGTGTAACTTTTTTCTTGTAAAATGAATAGTGAACTGTTATCCGCTGGGTTGCGGGTTACCCTTCCTTCAAGCCAGGCGAGATTTAACAGACTTTTTTTTACGTTATCGATGGTTGAGTTGTCAGCTTCGGTGTAATAGCCTTCTTCCTCGATATTCTCACAGATCTAACCGAGTACAGTATATTTTCTTCCTTTTATATCTATAGTGGATTTGAGATGCGCTGCTGATGATGTAGACATGTCTTTTTCTGTACTTGAATTGGTTTAGTCGTGCTTACGAACTAAAAATATTCATTTCACATGAAAGAATATTACGTAAAACATTACATGGAACAGCTATTTTGATTGTGGGATGAATCAAAACGGAGACTATGGAGGGGGGGGGGGGGGCATTTCGTGTGTAGCAAGCAACGAAAAAAAGTACGGTTGTAAAGTTTGTTCATATCGCCCGTATTTGTACCTGTATATCTAGTGAAAAGAAAGGATTTTGCTTTCCCGCCACTGCCGAGGAATTATTTTTTGCTGAAATAACTATCTGTTAAGTTATGAGGTTGGAAAAAATAGAAGTAAGTGGAATTAGGTGACCTTTCATTTTTTTTTCGAATTGAATAGTATTAAGACAAAATAAATTTTAAGTACGGAATGTTTTGTTCTTTTTGATAAAAAACTCAAATTTCAAATTTAAAAAAGCAAGGTGTGAAATCAGAAGTGAACGTTAAAAACCAAAATTTAGGTAACTTACACCATTTTAATTATCTTTTTACTCCAAAATAAAGCATATAAGTTTTAAAATGTTACATGTTGCTCTGGGTATGCGAGATATCGCATTTATAGTCTATAATATGAGTATTAATTTTAACCCATAATTAATGATTTTAAATATAATTTGTCAAAAATTTATAATTTGATGTTTTACTATTTTTTAAATATTTCAGTCTCGATACATAAAACCTGATAGGAGAAGTTCTAAGTGCAGGGATGAAGCCAGCAATGTTCCTCTTCTGGTTGATGGGTGAAACTAATGCTTTTTTTCGGTGATGTCTCTCAGAGCTAGATAAGCTCCCATAGCAGAATTTCAACCCCTTCTTCCTCATCCGTTCCTTAATAAGTCGCAGACACATTCAATCAGTGACTATCGTTCAATCAACCTTTGCATTCCCAGTGTCCCTTGCAGTTTCGCTTCAGTTTTTTTCATAATGGACTTAATATTTTTCCATCACTCTGTTATTGTCGCATAGCCAATTAGTCACTCTATCCAATTTTATAGCAAATATATAACATATTAGCAAATTTTCCCGAAATAATTGTGGAGTCTGGTTTTATTGGTGCAAGTTGTTCAAGGGTGTATTTAAAATATAGACGCATAAAATGGGTACACTTCTTTTTATGGAAAAACTTTTTATTTGACAACAAAGAATGAGAAAACTTGTTTTTTGGGTTTCAATCGAAAGTGTTGACAGGAACGGGAAAGCTTTTTATATGAGATTTTTAGGTATTTATGAGACCTACAAAACACGTAAGAAGATTCAACTAATAGCAAAAATGTTATGGTCGAAAAACGAGGCAAAATGCAGGTTTTGGCACTTGAATTTCTTTAAATCCATAGGATTCATACTTCTAAATAACAACAACAAAATTGGATCAGGTTAAGTAGTTTTTTCAGAATTTCTAATTGTAAATACACGTGCTTACCTTGCCTATATGAATCACTAACCATTCCGAAAGGTAAATGTTATTTTCATGTGAAAAACAAAAGTTACGTTTTTTTCTTCTAAACTAATTCAAACATTTCGTATTTGTGAGTAATTGAACAGATGCGCTACGATACTTGAAAAACATATGTTACTTTCCAGATTTTAAGACAAAGCGGATGTGTCTATCATCTTTTGTTGCGAATTACTCAAAAATACGAAATGTTTGAATTTGTTTATAAGCAAAAACCTAACCCATCATTTGTTGCATAAAAATAACATTTAACTCCTGGGATGGTTGTCGATTCATATCGGTAAGGTAAGCTAGTGTGTTTTGCTATAAAATGCCATTTGAACTGACCCTGTATATTGCTCAATAAACTAGTAGTGATGGTTGGAAAACAGGTGTTTTTGGGATAAACAATTAGAAATTCTTAAAACTTGCAGTAATAAAAAAAAACTTTACAACTATTCCGCAAACCAGGGGTATTTTCGTCTAGACTAACACTGACCATATGTCATGTGTCAAATACATTCAACATCGTTGTTTCGCACGTGATACAAACTATCCAAAATTTTACATAATACATAAGCTATCCTATAAAATAAATTTACTACAAAAATTTCTTAGAACACGATTACTATAGCATCGAAAATAACACCACCGTAAAACAAAGGAGCGGGTAGTTCTAATACCTTTAACTTTTTTTTGTGCTAACCGCTTGCATTCAAACTATTTTAGTTGAAGTGGCACCAACAAATTTCATCACCGTTGACTTGGGAATCGTATAGTTAAGAGTAAAAGAAAGATTGCTCACAGAAAAGTTTCTTCGAATCAAAAACGTTTTGACCTGTGTGTTTGGGGGAGCAAATAAAAACAGCGGATCGAAAAAATTTATTTTGAGGCAATTTGTTTCGAGATAAAATTTTCTGTTCTGTCATTATAAGTGTAGTGAGTATACAGGGTGTTTCAGAACTATGGGATCAAGCTTGTAGGGGTTATTCAGTGTAACAGTAGAAAACATTTGAGTATAGGGACCCATCTCCGGCACTTGTGTGTTGTTATATTTGAAAACGATAGCAGAGGTTGTTTTTTGTAGCTGCATTCCATATGTCGTGCTATCGTATTTGTGAGGTTTGTAAGAATTTAACAAAAATTAATTGTTGCTAATGGAAAACCTTACCTATCAAGAATAAGCGGATATGCATTTGGCAT